AAATACACCCTGGAAGAGATTCCAGTCCATCACAGGACACACTTGGACATAAATAATAATAATAATAATTACACTTATATAGTGCTTTTCTGGACACTCCACTCAAAGCGCTTTACAGGTAATGGGGACTCACCTCCACCACCACCAATGTGCAGCCCCACCTGGATGATGCGACAGCAGCCATAATGCGCCAGAACCCTCACCACACATCAGCTATCAGTGGGGAGGAGAGCAGAGTAATGAAGCCAGTTCACAGGTGGGTTTTATTAGGATGCCATGATTGGTAAGGGCCAATGAGAAAACCCTGAACACCCTGGGATTTTTAATGACCACGGGGAGTCAGCACCTCAGTTTTACGTCTCATCTGAAGGACGGCGCCTGTTTACAGTATAGTGTCCCCGTCACTATACTGGGGCATTAGGACCCACATGGATTGCAGGGTGAGCGCCCCCTGCTGGCCCCACTAACACCTCTTCCATGCACACACTCACACCATGGGTAGTTTTCCCAGAAGCCAATGAACCTACCAGTATGTGTTTTAGGAAACCGGAGCACCTGGAGGATATCCACAGGGACACAGGGAGAACGTACAAACTCATCACAGATAGCACCCCAGGTCTGGAATTGAACACAGGGCCCCAGCTCTGCAAGGCAGCAATGCTAACTACTGAGCCACCATGATGTCTGTAAGTACACTTTCACAGTGAAAATCAGGAACAAACAGAGATGTCAGAGGTCCAGAAAAACATTTCTAAAAGCAAGTATGATAATTATCTACTAAAACCCAACAGATACCTAATGATTTTGGGTAATCGTAAGCTTTTCTGCAATACCACTTAGTATAGAAGTGTACAAGTAACAGAGCAGGCAGTTCTGTTCTTAAAACTACACAAATGTACACACACAGTATAACACATTTTACATAGGAAAGTCTGATACGTTGATTTGTCATTCAAAAATACAATTATTTCCACAGTAGCTACCAAAGGCCATACTGAAACAAAAAAGCTGCATTTTGTGTCTAGCATGTCGGTGGTTCTCCTTAGGGTGCAGGCCTGTTTGATATCTTCTGGAAACTGGAAATTTCCTTGTGACAAAAGAAACAAACTCAGCAAGCTAACAATACATAATAAAGACTACAATGATATCTTATGGATGCAGACATCACATTTCAGCAACACATTGATAGAACACACACAAACACAATTTGTATACAAAATAAAATACTGAAGACATTATGAAGGCCATCACCTTAATTGAGAGATTTAAACTTAAATATTAGAATTAATTAAAAAAGTGAGTGAATTATTCCGTTATTACTTGTTTTGTACAATAGATTTTTTTTAAATAGGTAATCTTGTGTTTTTATTTTTGCATTTTACTTTTTTTTTCAAATAGGAATGTGATTGTTATTGATTTGCAGTAGGTCTGAGCTCAAATCATTTTGTCTTTGACTGTAAATTTGTCTGACGGTTTCTTTGAAAATGACCTAAACTTTTATGATCCTGATTGCTCTCTCATTCACAGGCTGTGTTGCTAACCTTTTCTCCGACTAACCATAAAATACTATCGTTAAAGCCAACAAAGGTATCAGGTTGAAGATAAGATAGCATTCAAAGGGTGCTAAAAATATTGGAAAACAAAAAAGGAAATGATTATTAGTCAAAAAAAATTTACAGCCATATAATAATTCTGAGGTTCCAGAAGGGTTCCTTTGACAATTGCGGTTTGATTAAAAGCTAAAAAAAAATTCAAGTCTGTAGTCAGAAGCAGTAGAGAAAGTAAACGAAACACAACCTGAGTATTAATCAGTCAAAAAAAAACAGGAAAAAGGCAACTACCATGTTTAAAAATACTCCGCAAATGTATGAAAACAAGAGAAAGTAAGACAATTGTGCACATACCTAGCCTGCTGCTATGGGTTAGTGAATACGGTGGTTACCATGGATAAATCTGACTATGAAGTGTACTTTGGAAGCAGGCTTTGTGTCTGATCTTTCCCCAAACAGAAAGCTGTGATCCAGGCAGTAGGTTTGTGTACACTGGGCAAGCCAGTTCCAGTATTCAGCTTCCTAGGAGCCATCTCTTCGCATAAGTACATGACTTAACTGACGTTCATCCTATAGCTACTGTGTTGGACGCCGGCAGTCGCATTTCAATTTGGTCCTTACAAATTTTAACTTGTTAAGAGTTGCTTCTGATAAGGTGGTTTGGGATGCATACGTATAGTATGTTGCTTCTATCACTTTATGGATGTTAGGTGTTAAGATTGCAATGTTGTCTGTTTTGTGTTTCCAACAGGCAAACTAGTCCCTGCAAATAACCATGAATGTAGAAGGCTCAAAAACTGTAAAAAAACTACAGAAGCCAAAAATGTTGACCATTGGCTCCTTCAAAGGTTTCTGTAAGAATTGTCAGAGGAGTTAAAAGTTTAATAAAGAAGTATAATATAGAGAATTAGCCTTAAAAAAAAGAGAGGAGGAGACAGTGAAACCAGTACAGTCGCACAAAAAGTATTGGCACCTTCCATCGCCTGCAATCTTATTAATGTTTGTTTCAGTGCATTTGCTTGTCAAAGTACTATTATATCTCCTCTTAGATCACTGAGCTTTCATTCATCCTAGCAAGCTGTAATTAAAGGCTTTTTGACCGAGTTAAATTATTGAAGATATGGAGACTGAATTTTTAATTCTCTAACTCCACAGAAGTCTATGGAATGGTAGAAAAAGAGACCAGACTGGGCTTATATAACATCTAAAGTCACCTCTAAAATACTTAGAAATGGCATTTTTTTCCATGAGGGAGAAAAGAAGCAAGATTGAGATTTTTTTTTTGTGTCTTTACATCTTCATAGCTCCTGGACTTTGTTGTGTGCTCTGATTTAAATGTTCACAGTCATTTTGCTAGGATGGCACTACAGAGAGGACGGACACAATGTAGCACATTGTAAATAGTATATCTCTATTCATGTAACATTAGCCTGTCAGTATACTGTACATTGAGGGCACAGAGTGGATTTTGATCATTTCCATGGATTGTAGCCTACATTCAAAAAAGCAATCAGGGATATTCTTTAAGCACTATTTTATATAGGTTTCATTTATTTGAGTGAATATTTAAATAAAATTAGCATTAACAGGAAGCTTGCCAATGCAAATAAGAAATTAAAGACAGCAAAAGAAGGCTTTACTTTTTAGTATAGGGTACACATCAGGAAATTAGTCATTATGTGGAGTCTAATGTTAGAACTGATTAGAAGCCACCAAGTCTCTCAATATTACAGATTTCCCATGATCTTACCTCGGCACAACCTTCATTGGAAATTTAAATGATGGATAATTATAAGTAAATCAAGGCATTTGTTCACATGTGTTGGTGGCTCCATGGCAACCAGTACGGGGTCTTAGTTAAATACTGGTGGAGAACTTCTGAAGACCGCTGTAATAATGGGTTTTATAGGTACCGTCTCCAACATAAGAAATTGATATTCGTTTACACAGTTTTGTGATATAAATGTATGAAATCAATTATATTTAAACGAGATAAAATGTTTCCAACTTTTTAAAAATTTATTGGCAGACAGAGCAAAGTTTCCCACTTAACGGATTTTTACATTCAAAATCGTCTACTATGTATGTTATTCAAATATAATTTGCGATGATGTTTTTTTTTCTTCGGATTTATCCGTGGAAGTCATTAGGAGCTTATGGTTCAAAAGTTTGTGTCGGTACGGAAAGAATATTTTCTATTTTGCCTTTCTCGTTTTTTATCCTAAACTCCCTGTAACAGAGTATTTTTTCTTACACTAAAAAAGTTTGTTTCGCAATTTAAGGAGTTAACGGGTCCCATTTTAACCATTACCGAAAACGTGTTAAAATAGGTTATCTTGGGATAGTTGGTGATTTAAAGTACAAAGAAAAGTTGAAAAATGAAGAGCATTACTCCTCATTAGCTAAACAGCTGCTGTATCCTGTTCAGTAGCGATGTCATTTTGTTAGAAATCGTTTATGGCTGTCTTGTTTTCTGTCATCTAGCAAGTCTTAAAGTTTTACACGATTTTTTAGGAGTCCTACAAATTTAATTGCTTCATTGCCTTTATACCCTGACCACTGTAGCAATAAGCAAATGAAATGATTACTGGCTATGAAACACCTTAAAACCATTAGTCTTGCGTTCTGTTGCCTGCCATAGTCTGTAAGCGTTTGGCTAAACAGTACAATAGTATTTTTTTTAATTAATTAGTTTTTGCTCTCTCCTTCACACAGTCTTAAAATTCAAATCCATAACGGTGTGCATCCCACCCTTCTAAAAATTCAAAACACTACTTAACTTCTATGTCAAGCTAATAACTGGCATCTCTCACGATTCCATGTAAATGTTCCGTTTAAAGCTTTTATCTCCGTCCGTTAGATGGTCTCCGATGATTATTATTATATTAGAGCTCCTTATCGGATTAGGTAACAATAAAGTGTAGTGATACTAACTCGTGGTACTAATTCTTAGGTGTAATGCAGATCAATAGAGAACATCGTACAATCCCTGACACAAAGTCAGGATGATTAGCTAGTAAGTGCACTGTCAACTGTCAACAATTAATTAAACTTTATATGCATACTTTTACTCACAATACCCATTTTATATATAAAATATTTCCGCTTTCCCACCCTCTTCTTGTTCTTAATAGCTATGTATTTGTATTGTACATGTACTTTAGAGCACATGAGGAATCCGGATAACAAAATGTGCCATGCTTGGTTATCGGTTTTTACATATCAGTGAAGATAATCTTATTATTTTTCTGACTGACAAATGTATATTTACGCTAAAGCAAGCTTTGAGAAAGAAAAAAAAACTTGTAATTGATGTTTTCCCTTAGACGCCAACCCCTCCCCTCAAACCCACCCTTCAGGTGAAAAAAAAAATCTTTAAAGATTTTTTGTCTTTTGTGGGATAACATCAGAAAGGGTTCGTCTGCTTGAGCCAATCAGCTCCTTCCCGCATGCTATCGCATGCTATAATACATAGCACTAAAGGCAGACTCTTCTCACAAGCGTCTGTAGCCTGCCTACCATTAAATTCAAACCCTGTTTTAGTCTCTTTTTTTTTCCTGCAACGGCCCAACTCCGATGTATTCCGTTATCAACGAGCAGAAGGCTGACATTTCCGCACCTGCCTCAGTAGGGATCGGTGGATAGTATCACAACGAGAAAAAGAAACAAGGGCATAGGAACACAGTGAACGAAAGAGAGCGAGAGGGAGAGAGAGACATAGAGGTTGATCTGGACACGACCAGAGATAGATACACAGAAGCTTCAAGTAATTAGAATCGATGGACGAAATGCTGCTGTTGACAAGAATCGTGCTGGTGGGCTTGACCTGCCTTGCTTTCGTATCCTCTGGGTTGGCTTGTGGACCAGGCAGGGGCTATGGAAGAAGAAGACACCCGAAGAAATTGACACCTTTAGCTTATAAGCAGTTTATTCCCAATGTTGCAGAGAAGACCCTGGGGGCCAGTGGCAGATATGAAGGGAAGATCACAAGGAACTCTGAGAGATTTAAGGAGCTGACTCCCAATTACAATCCTGACATTATCTTTAAGGATGAAGAAAACACTGGCGCTGACAGGCTTATGACACAGGTAGAGTGAACATCTTTTTACTCTTATGCATGATCAATATCAGTACATTGGGGATTAGTATTGTGGCAACATATTTTGAGCAACAAGCTGATAAAGTTTAAAGTCTCCGTGCTGTTTTTAATTTTCAATTTGCTTTGCCTGGGGTGTTGTTTTATGAGTCCTGGTTGTGTGAATTTTGTTTGCTGAAGTCCCCAAGGCTCCAGTCAGATCAATTAAAGTGGATACTGTAAGGAAAGGGACACCCAAGTGAATGCAGACAGCCGGGACAGTCAGACGTTACTATGAACTGCAGTTTACTTGTGCTATCGATCTAAGTTCATGCTCCATTTTATTGTGTGCCAATTCACCCGTTTTTAGAGGACATCCTGTACTTAATCACACAATCTGTAAGTCGGAATACATTTAAAAATAAGAAGAAATAAGTCTTCCAGCCCCTTGCAGAAGTCTCGAGGTTACAGTAGCCAGCTGCACGCATTAAAATATAACATTTCGCAGTGTTGCTCATTGGGGCATGAAAATATTGACATTTCTTTAAGCATGTTCTGTACACCATTACTACTTCATTGCTGGGCGGGACTTTGTCAATTAGTCGCGCTACTAGCATAGAACTCAAGACTTCTTTAAATTATTATCTTTGTCACCGGCTTTTGCAAGACGATAAAGGGGGGAGCGGCATAATAAGCATCCGTTTTGAACCTCGGCTACGGTGTCTTTTATTTGCTGTTTGGGGAACAAATCTGTGATCTCTGCTTTTGAATAGACTTCATCTGCATGACCTGCTTGCATAGCTGAGTTCAGATTAAATATGGGTCAGAAATTATCATTGCAGATACTGTGTTTCGTAGACTCATTGGGTGAAACCCTTGCTATTAATAAGAGCCGGTTATTTTTACATGCTTCCTCGGACTATGGCTATTATATTTTTAAAAAGAGATGCTCAGGGAATTTATTCGAGTCCAGCCTCCTTAAATATCGCAGGATCCGGAGTGGAGTGATGAGGCGCGCGCCTGCTTTACTGAACCGTAGAAGCACGAGCCCCAATTAAATATTCACCCTGTACTGTAGGAGTGCGTGCAGCCAGGAAAGAATACGTTTCTACTACGCACCTCCTTCATTCTACATCTTCGTAACATTGTAATTCAAAATACCGTCTTGCTAGAGACATAACCTTCCATTCTAGCGTTAAAGGAGTCGGCTCAGTCCCACATAGCCCTCGGTCATTGAGACTCTAAGCTGCAAGGCAGTGATCTGCACCAAGTCAGACACATCTTGCATTTTCAGCTCCACTTACTCCTCTTTTATCGATCGGAGCGGCTAGGATTTCAGTTTGTATTTTTATATAACCAATGGCAACCATAAAGCGCCAGCTCCCCGGTGCCTGCGTTTTATAATCTGTCTATAATCTAGCCTTTAGACTCGGTCGCAAAAATAAAGACAGGAGCAGAAAATGTACAGTATGGTGGGGTTTTTTTTTGGTGGTGGTAATTCTATTTTGCGAAAGGCCGGGCATCCGCGTTCCCTTTATTTTAGCACGAAGACACATTTCAATTGCCCTGCTTTTAAGAAACGCTACTGTACAAGACAAGCACTTCCTTGGGAATAAGGCAGTCTTTTCTTCTCGGCTTGTCGCTCTGGCTGCATTCGCTGGGAGCATTTGAACTTATGACCTTCTGTCAATTTCTTTCAATTGTATGTCACAAAAACAAATTCGTATTAGTTCTATATGTTGTAGGATAACAGTTTTTAGAACAGTTTGAGTTCAGAATGCTTTGTTTCTTAACCCACTGACATCAGTACCACTGTGGCTGAATAGACTACATCTTCAAATGCCGTCACGTCGAACTCCAGTACAGTATAGCTCTTTAAAGACCGCAAGGTTACTTCATGAACTGATGTATATATGCAAAGGGTTTGAGGGGATTCTAAATAATTTATTTTTGAAATGCACCAGGAAAGACCTTTCTGAGGAATTGCGGACTATCTTTAATTAGGTTAGCCAAATTAAGTTGGCGCAGTTACGAGCGCTTCCAGTGAGTGCTCCAATGTTAGAGTCTGGACACACAGGTGCATGTTTAAATAATTAAGGGATCAAAAGCTACCTTTTTCGTAAAGGGGGAAAAAAAGGATAAGGTATATTTTTGTATAAACGGGTACCCCGCGGGACCTTTTAAAGAAGATGAAGCTTAGTTCTGGTGTGGTTTCCTAAAATGTAAATCATATACCAGTTAAAGTTATTATGGCAATAAACGCGAAGTTGCTCGAGGGCGTGCACATAACAATTTGGATGAGCTTCGTGTTAATCAGGCAACCTTTCAACTACAAAGACACATCTCGTAAGCTTCTGTGAAACTAGCGAGATCACCTCAAAGAAGAAGAAAAAACTTCTTGTGTAACCCAGATGTGTGGATTTAAAAAAAAACAAACAGCGCTAAACTGAATCTAGACTAACATAACTGATGAGCATATTAAAACCGTGCTTGAATTTAAAGAGTTCATCGGGTTGTTTACACTGACAGGTACCTGATAAGTGTTTCCTTTAAGCAATTCATTTGTGAAGAGATTAGGGACTGGCAGCGAGGGCTTGTTGAACAACTTTGTCTAAGCACAAAGCGTAAGCACGGCGAGTCCTGCTGGGTTTCACGGTGACTGAACAGAATTTGGCTTGATTTGCGACACACGACCCAATGAATTAATAAATAGTTTGGGCTTCACGGCTTTTGACTCTGACAATCCTGCTCAGAATAGGAAGGGAGAGCTTTTGGCATGGCCCTTTTTACCCCTTCTGAGCGCTACAAGTGCTTAGGATGATCTGTATATGCATTTATTTGATCTTAATGTTTCATAATCTCTGCAGCAGGTTGATTTTAGATAAGTACTGACGCTTGAGGTTCTGTGATCAATAGGACTTCTGCGTTGTTTCTAGTCACAGAAATACTGTCTGATGTAGAAGGTGTGTGGAAAACACTTGAATGCTCATATAAAAGATTAAAAGCTCCGTTTTGCTTGGTTTTTTTTTGGGGGGGCTTGTCAAAAACGAAACATATGTTGTGCATTTTATGAAGATCGACCTGCGACGCAACTGGTACTCTTAATTTAGCGTGTTAACTGAAACGTTTAGTTTTCTGTTTAAACCGCTTGTATTCCTCTTCTATATCGCAATAATATGATTTGAATAATATGATTTTGTATTAAAGCACTTAAGGCGTTCTGATAAGATAAATTATTGGTTTTATTAATTGACATATTGTGAGAATAGTTGTTTATGATCTCCAGACATTGATGTCTTGTTAAGCAATCTCGTCACGTCTCTAAAAAGTAGTACTGCAAGAGTAATGAAAGTGTCTTTCACCCTCCGGGCGCTGTGAAAAGAGTCTTTTGTGATGTTTTACTTGACATATTGGTAAAGTGTTGGGAAGAGTTGTCCTGGAGAAGGCCAAGCATCTCTGTTCTGGGTCTCGGGAAAGATTAGTAAGCGTAGTATCCTAATTATTCGCCAACTATTTTGTGTGTATAGTTATTCTTAAACGCCGTCAGTGATACTCAAGCACCAAAAATGAATGAATGTGAAAAAAGTCCGTAAAACGATCGTAATTAAACGATCGCATCTGGTAACTGCATAGTCTTCTAAATCATAGGACTGCTTCTTCTTTCAGTGCATTCATTCAACATCAGTTCTTGTCTAGACAGCCAGACAGATAGATCCAGAGAACAGTGTTCATTCAAAATGATGGATCTATATGTTTCAAGCAAGTGAAGCAGATGAAAAATTATAAAGTATTAATTGCCCTCTTCCTTATCCTGGTATTCATTTTTGAAAATCAAATGTTTCAGACAGCACCCTCTCCTGTCTCTTTTACTAGTCTCTATTCTGTCCAATTCTAATGAATGAGATGATGAGGGACTTGCACCATAAACTGGGCATCACAAAACAGGACTGTAAAGCAAAATAAGGTCTATGGACATGTCCTGGAAGATGGACTGTTCAGAAAAGGACACACAATTTTCCTTTTTTTTATCTATAGCTAATGCCAAGAAGAATCTTTGGGGCCTCAGCAGGTTCATTGCAAATATCTGCAAAGTTAAGCACTTTACTGAGTGATTTGTAAAACTAAAGCTTCTAAGAGCAAATAAATCCATTTGTGAGGGGAAAGAAGAAAAAAAACAAAAGTCTCCCCTCCACGTGACGTACTTTAAATCCCCAGAGTTAAAAGTGTTGCTTTCAAACTCGAAGCTTGACAGATGCCTTTGTTGCCTTTTGATGCATTACTGTCCCCTCGTTTTCCTTGAGAACTTTGATTTCTCAAGACAATTCGCTAAAAGCTATACACCATTTGACTACTTTTGCCTGAAAAGTGATTTTCGTTCAGTTTGGTTGCTCCAAAATTCGCCTTTCTTCCAAAGCTTAGTTGGCCTATTTGTGACTTCTACAAAATGGACACTTTCCCTAATTTCCTGAAACTAGGTGTTGGTGATGTTTTTATTTCTCGAGATAACACTTTTACTGGAATCAAGAAATACAGCTCATTAATCGCATTCAAATAGGCAATACTAATCTATATCTGGAATAAAGTGATTTCTCATTATGTCTGCCACATTCAAATGAGACTCTAGAAGAATAATTGCACACGGGTCCAAACACTATACTCTATTTTGCGGCAAAACGGTTTTAAAAGTCACAAACTCATTGTTTTTTTTTTTATTAATTGATGCCACTGAGTACATCTCTCTCTTTTTCTTATCAGAGATGTAAGGACAAGCTGAATTCCCTGGCTATTTCAGTGATGAACCAGTGGCCAGGAGTTAAACTGCGCGTGACAGAAGGCTGGGATGAAGATGGACACCATTTTGAAGAATCGTTACACTACGAGGGAAGGGCAGTGGACATCACTACTTCTGACCGGGACAAAAGCAAATATGGTACTCTGTCCAGGCTAGCTGTGGAGGCAGGATTTGATTGGGTGTATTATGAGTCTAAAGCCCACATCCACTGCTCCGTCAAAGCAGGTGAGAACACTTATACAAGCTCTTTAAAATCATACATGGATGGAATAAACTTGTGGTTCCTACTGACAGCTCTCAAATTGAATCCCATTAGCTGTATGCCACCAACACAATACAAACTATGACCAGATAGGAGGGCTGAAGCTGCTCTTAGTTTTCTCCAAGCCTTGATGATTCTGATTCTTTATACTCCTCTTTTTGTCATATGTCAAAGGAGAGAGAGTTGATTTTACAAATAAAATGTATTCTGAGGACATAAGTTATATTCAGTATTAAAAACTGCTTTGCAGAATACAGTGTGACTCTGTAACGAATACTGCTGTCCGTCCAATGCAAGGAAAAAGCTCTGTGGTTCTTATTGTTGTTACTGTTGCGATATGTTGGACTATGTTCTCCCCTATGAAAAGCCTGTAACCATTTGAATCTGGTCAGTCCTCATAAAAGGCTAATACCAACATGTTTCAGACTGGCTTGAGGCATCTTTAATGGCATTACATTGATGGAATTCACATAAAACCAGGATTGGTGTAAACTTTAAAGTGAATATATATTCTTATCCAGCTATGTTAAATCAAAATGAAATGTAGATTAATGAAAATACAACTAGGCTGAAGGACTATAAATAGGTTCCATTCAAATAGAATTAGATTAATACTTATGTAATTGTGTGGGAGGCATATTTTGCCACAAACTCTTTTAATTAACGCTATTGCTACTGATATTTTATCAGGTTTTTAAGAAAAGTAAACTTAATGTTCGAATCTCGCTTCAGTGGCCGATATTCTGATTTCATAACGTTATGTGTTGAGGGAAACACAATCTCTAGTTAACTCGCCCCTTCTTAGTCACCAACAAGTTACAGAGGAATCGTGTTAGAGCCCACGATTAAGTTGTTGAAATCTGCACAAAATTATCCGCGATCTTACATCGCCCCATACTGTTTTCATAATGAAATCACTCAGCCTGTCATTCCGTATTTAAACAGGGAAGGCTTTAACGTCACCTTTTAAATATTTATGGCATACTGGGTTATAAAAGTGTGCTGTGGCCAGTTTAATATTTCAGAAATCTTTGCGATGTTCTCGGTAAAAGGCTAGTAGATAGTGGAATGGGTATGGATTTTAAGTAGAGTACACACATTTTACAAATACTTAAATCCTTAATAAAAAAAATATTATTTGGCAAAATGTAATTGACCTTTGAGGAGATGTTTTAGTTGGTTTTAATCAAACCAGACGTTTGTTGGTATTACAAAGTCAATTTTGATATAAAAGTCAGGATTGTATAAATTATCTTTGCTTATTGAATTGTTTTCCCTTGCCACAATGTTATAGAATTCGACGAGTATTAATAATTACGATGTTTTAGAAGAAACCAACACATTTAACTCAGACTTAGCTTGGTGAATTATCAATAGTGCACGAAGCTTTTCCTTAACACGGTGTTCCTAAAATGAAATATTCTGTGGGCTTTTGCGAGAATACAAAACCACGGTTTAAACCACCACACAAAAGGATAATTGTAAAGGTATACGTTTCGGTTTCAGAATCTCATTTGCCTTTTTTTTTTGTAAATTACCTCATTGTTTGCATTTTGGTCAACTATGTTAGCACCAGATGAATGTTTTAATCCCACCCCCACGCGTATTGTATTTAGTATTAAGTGGCAAATCTGCTATTTAAAATTCAAAACACATATTGGGCTTTTTAGGTCATATTTAGTCCATGTCATGCAGGGTCGTGTGACTGTACCGAATGGATTTGGACAGCGCAATGCTGAATTCGGTCAACTAAAGCTGGTTTTCTGTTGTCACCGCCTAGTTTCATGCCAGAGAATCTTATGAGAAGATTAAATACTAAAATTCCAAGCAGGAAGAATCCATTCTCTCGATCTCTGTTTGCTGAAAGTATATTCCTGGAGATTGGAATGTAAAGAAGAGTTCTCCCAAGGCTTGCATTATTGTCATCAGGATAGACAACAGAGAGGCAGCGGTGGTAAAGGGGACATTGATGAGGGGATGTTGGGAGCATTTAGAGTCTCTGCCTTCATTTAAAATTCAAATACACATCTTGAGTGCCTTGGAAAAGTGGCTGCGCTGTGCAAATACTGTTTGCAGTGCCTTGGGTTTGGAGAGTATGTGTGTGAATTGGCACATAGGTTTCTGCACCTGAGCAAATACGGGAAAGGAGCTGGGAAAGGCGTAAGTGTCCTTTTCCAAGAGTGAGTCCATCTACAATCTGAATTAGAATGACAATGTCCGCTCTTTATTGGTTTTTAATTAGAGGGCCCAAGCTGGCACTTCTCGGGACAGTGTGTTTTTTTTTTACTATTCGCACTTTTCAGTAATCTATTTGTAAAGTTCCTTAACCAATCATTTTATTATACGAGAACGGCAATTGCAAAAGCCGTTTCAACCTGCTATTTTTAAACTTTAGAACTGTGCCGTTGGTGTCCCCGCCTCAATTTCTCACAGAAATCGTCTGTAACGTGCACACTGTTCGACATTTTGTAGTAGAAAAAAACAAAAGAATTAAAATCCGTTTTGCTTCAGAAGAGAAAGGGACTAGTAAATGAATCAGTCAGTACTTCATTGGATATACAATTAGAAAGCAATTTCCCGGTGGATGGTGCAATAATGCAGTGTTTGCAAACTGGCCACCGGCGGAAATCTGTACCTAAAATGATTATTAAGTACTTCTCACGGAAAATAAAAAGGGATGATTTGGAAAGGGAGTTCAAATATCATCATCCCTTACTTGCTAAGGTGGTTAAGGTGTGTTTGGTTTTCTTTTCATTTTTATATTTCTTTTTTTCACAGAAAATTCGGTTGCTGCTAAATCGGGAGGATGCTTTCCCGGCTCAGCTTCGGTGATTCTCGAGGGAGACAGAAGAAAACTGATCAGGGATCTCAGACCAGGAGATAAGGTCCTGGCCGCAGACGAGGAGGGTAACCTCGTCTACAGCGACTTCATTATGTTCATGGACAGAGACACGGAAAACAGGAGAGAGTTCTACGTGATAGAAACCAAAGAGCCCCGAAGGCAGATCAAACTGACGCCTGCGCACCTCCTCTTCGTGTCCGACAACACGACGGATAACCCGCACTCCCTGAAAGCGACCTTTGCGAGCCACGTCAGACCCGGACAAAAGGTGTTCATCGTCGACGACGTACGTCAGCAGCTGAAGTCCGTGACCGTGGAAAGGATTTATATTGAAGAAGACGAAAGCTCCTTCGCTCCCGTAACCGCCCAGGGAACCATTGTAGTTGACCAAGTGTTGGCTTCATGTTACGCAGTTATAGAAGACCACAAATGGGCACACCTGGCCTTTGCGCCGGTGAGACTCGTTTATGGTCTGTCATCGCTACTGTTTCGCAAAGATTATTTACTGTCGAACGGCACCTTTCAAGAGGAAGGTGTTCATTGGTACTCAAATGTGCTATATCAAATAGGAACGTGGGTCTTGGACAGTAACTCCATTCATCCAATGGGGATGCCAATAAACTCCAGTTGAAACAACTAACAGCAAAGCAAAATAGGACTAATGTAGGATAATAAACGATAGTAGAAATAAAGAGACAGAGACCCCGGAGGAGTTGTGGGATATTTATTGCATTGAACATTTATGCTTTCTTTTTCAAAGAATAAATGGACCTCCAAGAGCCTTAAAACTTTTCTTTGAATAATTTATTCTCATGAGAACTCTAGCTGGTACCACTTGAACGGATTCTCATACTGTGTGACCAGCCAAACGTGCAGAATCTATTTTTGTATATCACAAGCCAACAGCAAAGAAAACTGGAAAAAGGAAAAAAATGAAACCTTCTAGACAGTTTGTAATGTTCTGTGCATATGTGCAACTGACTGTTATCATATTTTGGGGGTTGAACCTACTTCTTGGGGTCCATAAATTATATTTTTATACGCAGAATTGTAAATTAGATTTTTGACAGATCGTTACTTACTGAATCACATTTCGTTATTTGAAATAGTGTAAGATATGAGAATATATTATTTTAATTTAAATAGTTGCAGAAATATAAAGTCTTGGCAATCTTGTACTGTTTTGTGTTTATTAAGATTGTGTTTTTTTTAATTATTATTTCTATTTTGTAAACTGGCCACGTTACTGTAAAACAGACAGCCGCCACGAGCTGTCTCTTATAGGCTACACGGTACATTTTTTTCTTTTTTTACAATTTGTTTCAGAAAAGACTTATAAGTGCACAACATGACGACTTCATTATATGATAAAGTAGTAGTACAAAACCAAGATGTTTCTTTTAATAAATTAAAAATAACTGCTGTAAATTTACTAAAATGTATTTTTTGCATATTTTGTAATAGTTAAATAGTTTTATAGAAATAAAATGCGCCAGATGCACAGTTTGAATAGTATATAAAACATAAGGTGTTCGTGCCATCTAACTTTCATAACAGGGCAATATGTCTAAAGAAATGTTTAGAGATTATTATTTATATGTTTATTACAAAATGAGATAAAGAAAATATTCAAACTTACAACTGTTACATGTTTTTGTTTTCTGAGCAACGCAATCGCATAAGTAGGAAAGTCAGTCATTTCCTGGTCCATATGCGTTTTCTTCCCAAATTTCTTGTATCCTGGGTGTTCGTTTTCACAAAAATGGGTTTAAATCATTTCTATTGGTGACAGAACTTCGGTTACTATTAACAACAAATTGAAATTAATTGAGAACTGTGGGTGCATTACATGTTAGAGGGTAACGACATCTTGGTAAGATTATCAGTCTTTATATTTAAACAAATTGATCGTAAGAGGATGCATTACATTCGAGTGCCTTAAGTTTGATTCTCCTTCTAAAGAGAGTTGAAGGTCGAGTCTTACATTTTTCATTCTCATCCAGTAAAACCAGTGGATTATATTTTGTCATCCTAAACTACTGTAAATGTGACTCATTAGTATCTTTTATAACTATTTGTATTTTCTGGTCGTGTGAAAACTCAGTTTCACGGAGGAAGCTACTTGAAATTCTATTAACACACGTAAGGTTACGGGATTCCATCAGACTTTGAACTCTTTGATGCTCCCCTGCGAAATGTCAAGACTTCGTGTTAAAATGAAGGTTCACGGCCTCCTAGCAAATTCTTTTTCCAAAAACGCAGACGGGTTAAACAAACGTGCGCTTTCTCATAAGAGCATTATATAAACCATTAAAGGCATGAGGAGAAATGAGTTTAAAATTTAGAAAAGCCATGTGCGCTACTGTCTGGCTTCGGTGTTTTTACATTTCTGTTTATTTTTATTGTTAAAGCTTAATCTCCAACAATAGTATTTCAGTATAATGAAAGTCTAAACTGTGAACAATCAAACCCGGTAAACTATAGAAACTATGAGGAAAACATTTTACTATTAAACTGAGATGATGATGAGTGAGAATGTACCGTCAGTCTAGGTGGAGAAAGAAACAAACTGTACTACGCAGCCTATCCCTTTACCTTAATCAAGACAGTTGTATCACCCACCACAATCAAAGACATATAACCTATAATTACCATTGATCTTTCATTTCATTTACGTTTATACCGTTCTGTACTGTTTATCTATCGGTGCATCTACTTATGATTAATTGCATTTGTACAGCGGTTTTCGTTGATCCCAAAACGCTTTACACACATCGGAAAGGACATCTTTCACTACTGAAGTGCAGAACAAGCCTGGATGACATTGGACAGCTTTTATACAGCAATCCACGTGAAATCAAAATACTGTAGGTGAGAAAACCTCACCAACTGAATTAAGGGTGGGTAATACTTCAATCGTTCAATAATTTGCGCGGTTCTAAATGCTTTGATATCTTTTACTCCTACAGAAAAGTTCGTAACCTTTTTGACCTAACTTTTCTACTAGGCTATGCTTTTTTATTAATAGTGATAAAATAAGAATAGGGATTTTTAAAGGGGTAGTATTCGTGCTTAAGAATTGCCGTTAACAACCATGTTTGCCTTAATATGGCTTCAGGGCAATGCGTTAACGATTTAACAATCATCAACCATTATAATTAATAATTTCAGGAAACCCCAATTGGTAATCTCATTACACAATATAATTTGTTTTTGGAACTTTTGGATAATGATCAGAAATTTCCACAGATTACAAATATATTTCTCTTTCTTCACAGAATAAAATGATGCCTATATATCTGACTTTAAGGATTATGGATCACACATTTGAATTAAAAAAGATGTGAGCCCGCTGCGTTTGTCCAGTAACTATAGATATATACGGTATATAACTATAGATATAACTATATGTTCAATTTTATTACATATAGCCTCATTTCACAGCTTACTGATTTTTTTAATAAAGCACTTGAGTATAAACTTGTAGAATCCGTAACATAAATTGGACACTGTAGTTGATATATTATTTTAGAATGAGAAAGTGAAAAAGTGATAAAAACTGATATTTTGGGACAAACCAACGGAACACAAAAGGATACATGATGCAAGCGCGACATCTAGTGTTTTCGTCAATACATGAGCAAAATATTTTATTTTTAATGCTCTATTTAACTAGACAGCCAGTTGAGAACAAATAGGCATTAACGATGACGACCTAGCCAAGGTCTAATTACCGGCACATAAAACAAAGCATTTAGAGGAAGAAAATGGCAATCTGTAAATTCTAGGCTACATGAAACACCTACAAGATTCTTAAATATCAATAAATATAAAAAACAATTAACTGAGTATTGATAAATAGACAACAAAGTCTCGAAGAACATCTGTTTTTTCCAGAACCATACAAAGCAATAGTAAAATGTAATGGGATTATATTTTTTGCATTGATCTTTGCCTTATGTAAGGTAGCATCGTATTTAGGTGCTTTTTAGATGGACAAGGTCATACATTTTTATCTGAGTGACACCAACCTATTGCCTTACAGAATCTGAAAGGTCACGGAAACAAGCTTCTGAAACGTTTTCTTCCAGGTATTAATTGGGCATAACTCAGTCTGTGATTGGTGCTTGGCCAAAGCTACAGCATTTATGATCCAGCTCTTTGCTCATCTCTTTATGACATCAGTTGACTCACCATTTTTCACATAAATGCTTGACAGACAACCCTCCAGACAGAAGAGTTAAACTTTTCGGATCTAATCTGGATGTATTGAGCACAGTTCATAGTCTTGGCCAGCGCCATCTTGTCTAATGACCCAAATTGCACCTCAAAAAACTATGAAAGACCAATCGTCAGAATTGGCACACAGCTGAGTGAACATTTCCTACAAAATATCTATAGGCCAACACAGTCAAAGAACATGGAAAACATGAAGATCTGGAAATGCAGTTTTAAAATAAATAACAGATGTGGAAAGGCAACATACCTGTTGGAAGAAATGTGCACAGAAAGTGCAGACCACATGTGATTATTAAAAATATCATGGCAGGCATGGTTGGTTTTCTGGGACAATGGTTGGTTTGGCAAGTTTGGCATCACTAGATGTTTTCTGGGCAATATTTGACTGCTCCGCGTTTCCTACTGCATAGCAAATGCCCTACTGTATTCCACAACACAGTATAGTACTCAAAGTTAGGGGTAAGAAGATAAGAGTGTCTGCAAATAAGATGAGGCCACTTGGGCTGTTTGGCTATTAGTAGCTACTGTAAATGGCATAAAGATCTCATCCAGCAATTTTGTGAAGGAAGCATTGATTTTGGCTTCAAAACCATGCTGAGGTAGACTCCCACAACCCTTTGTGTAAAGAGGTGTCTTCTGTTCCGTTTTAAAATACAGCTTCCATTTTTGCACAGCATCTTCTTATTGAACTTCAGAAGAATGAGCATCTTGAGTCAAACCAGGGATCTTCATTGTTTAATAAAAATCAGAGTTTTGTTGTGCTGGGCAATACCTAATGCACTCAGAAGGCAAGAGTTTTCAAATCCAACTTTTCAGTGCAGCTATAGAATAGATAACAGACCTTAACGTACAGTTCTAAGAGTGAGAAATCAACAAATTTGTGACCCAATACTGAGCCTTGATTGGTGGTCTAATATGCGATCAACAAATTCTGGATATCACCAACACCACCTGTAGTATAATGACACATTCATAATAAAATAATGCTGCTGAGAAGCCCAAAATAAAGCATAGTACACAGAATAGCAATGGAACTTCACTGCAGATGGTAAAAATGATAAATCTGTAGTTCAGCACACAGCAAATTCAGAAGAAGTTCTTCCAGAAAGTTCAGGACTTCCTACCTCAAATGAACAATTGAGTCCGAAAGTCCGAGTCGGAAACTCTCCTGTTTCTGTGATCCTAGACGGCCAGTGTCTACAATGTCCGTTCGTAGGAATGACACGATGGCTCATGTTTAAAAACACAAGAAACTTGGTGCACCAACAAATGTCAGTGTCAATAATTACAAACCATCTTCTGTTAGGATCATTGCTAAAGAAAAAACTGACAAACAGAGGAAGGCTGAAGGGGCCAACAAATAGTGTTTCTCTTTCTTTGAAGTGGTTGAAAGAATATGTCCTCATGTATTAAGCCTGACAGGCTACTAGCAAACTCAGACTTTCACATCTGAGAACGCTAGAGGTGAAAACTGAATCCCTGGTCAGGAATTACATTAGAAAAGAAAGTCCAGTTACATCCTGAAAAGTCTATGTTATGCCATGACTCTATATAAAAGCTACTTAGGAAAATTGCAGACTGATTTTTTTAGACATTTCTCTGTAAATTTTAGAGAACACGAGTTAAGAAAAAGAATATATCTTTAATTTTCTCTCATTCGATAACTTAATAGTCCAGTAATAAAGGCCTGCAAAACACATGGGTTCATTACCCTCAGATTTCAGTTACAAATAGCTCAATGGCTACATATATATATATACTGAAGTTACAGAACAGTCCAGTGAAGGTCTGAAATGAGTTCTGCTACAAAAAAAAGCAATTTTCCAGAGAACTCCCAAAATGACATGGTGCTCTGACTCCTGGCAGTTTTGCAGGAGGCTTTATAGTCTGAGTACAGCTCTCGTAACCCTCTGTTACTATTACGTATGGGTGTTTAGACGTAACCATTGCACTATACTGTATGTATTAGAACTACACAAAATGCTTCCACACAGGACACAATGGCTATTTCTGATCATGTTAACCCAGCCTTTCAGTTCTTTCAGGAAAATTACATCTTCAGCCTGGGTCAGGAATGAACCCATGTCAGGGTTACGCCATACCCTATCTCCAAATATAAATATTACAATGTCGATTTTTATTTTGCTGATGCATTTAAATATAATTGCTTAACAACAAGCAGACCCTCAAATTCAAATACAAATGTCTGGAGATGCACCATTCTCACATACAAAAGGAGTAGCAAAAACAGAACGTGAAAGAGTCTTTCTCTGTTTAATAGAAGCATTTTCTAATTAGCCAGTCAAAAATGAACATTTTCTAATGTACAAATGCAAAACTGTCTCTTTTATTTTTCAAGTCAGCTTTATTGA